GGTATGCGTTTTTAATTTCTCCCAACTATTTGGCATCATTAGAACCTGATAAGTATAAAAACTAAACATTGTCAACGATAATAGTCCCAGTGTCCTCAAACGAGTTGAATATTCCTCATGTCTTCAAAATGTCTTCAAATGAGCACTTAAGTGTCTTATCTTGTTACTGTTGCTAAAATTTGTTGCCGAAATCAAACTACAAACATTATTAATCATAGTTAAACAAGTTTCAATCATAAAACGTGATCAGGTTTGGGACCTTGTTCACTTTGTGTCGGGATCGGCTGCAGACTGACTTGGCAGAGACGGCTGCCATCTTGTTTTTACATGTATTAGTGTATTGTGCTCTTACTGCCAATAGATGGCACAAAAAGTGTCCACGCACAAGGACAACAGGTCTAACTCAAGAAGAATGGAGTATAAGGTCCGGTAAACCCATAATGTGATGTCCTCATAGCAGGACACAGGGTCTCAGGAGGATAAGGAAAGTACGTTCTGTAGCAGTACCAGCAGGGTTGTGGACCGGGTGCATGCAGATTTGCGCAGGGTGCATTAGGGGCCTGTTGGGGTGTGTGGAGCATCGAGGGACAAGGGACAGGAAGTGTGTGCAGAGGTGGTGGCGACCTTTGACACTGAGCTATGGGAGGAGAAAAGCATTGAGGTTGTTGTTGGTATGACAGCTGGTGTTGCTGCGATGTTAGTTGTGACCACTGTTGCCACAGTAACCCCGTCTGCTGCCACTGAAACGGCTGTGGACGCTCCACACTGTTGATTCCTTCCTGCCCTCTTCCCTTACTTCGCCCTGCTTTCTCCACCTCTTCCTCCTCCTCTCTCCCAGACAGCTGCTGTTTGACAATGTAGAAGGCGTCGTCATTGTTGTCTTGTTTTTGGGACAACACCTGCAGGTGGAGGGTGGAGACGACGGTGTGAGGGTGTGGCGGGAGGGACAGAGGGGTGAGATGAGGACCAGGGGAATTCGGCAAGGAGGAAGAATTGATGAGTGGAGCTCTTTGAGTCATTTTCTTATTTTTAGCTTCCTGGATCTCCGACATCTCCCCTCCGTCACCATCTTTTCCTCCAGATTCAGCATTTATATTACGTATTTCTGAGAAAGCCAGATCAGAGCAGCTAGAGCGAGACTCTGCCTCTGTCTCCCAGTCCACCTCTGATCCAGAGTCTTCAGCTGAGGAGCTGGACTCACCGTCGTCCCCCCAGCGAAGGTTGTAGCAGTGGGTACAGCGAGACAGACTGAGGAATTCAGGGCCTGATTCAGACTGGACAGAAAGGGAAACAAGTTAGGCAGACAGTCAGTTAGTTGTGAAGACATGTCAGCGGTTAAATTATTTATGACTCTTTGTCTCTGGCTTCAGCATCACCGTGGCATGCTGAGCTGCATTAAGTCCTCGGACTAAAACAGCAGAATTGGTGGTTTATGTTTGTAAACACGCACGCTAACCCCACATTCACTCTGATTTCACATTTTTCCCCCCTATATTTGCGTTTTTATGCCTCTGCGCCAGTGATAGCCGTGTTCCAGGATTAACTGATTATTTTTGGCAGTCATAGATCAAAGGACAAGATCAAGGTCACTGTGGCCTTGCATTCGTCTCAATCTTGTGAATGCAATGTCTCCAGAAAACCTTGAAGGAATTTCCTCAAATGTGGCACAATCATCTACTTGGACTCAAGAATGAACTAATTAGAACATGGTGATCAAAGGTCAAGGTTACTGTGACCTTGCAACCAGATATCTCAGGAACACCTTGAGAGAACTTCCTCAACTTTGGCACAAACATCCATTTAGACTCACAAATTAACTGATTAAAATTTGGTGGTCAGTGCAACCTCACAATAGCTCAAGAATTCATACACTAATTATGACAAATCTGACACAAATGTCTTAACGGATAAAATGATGAAGTGGTCAAAGGTCACCTTCACTGTGACATCATAATGTTCTGCATAAAACACTATTCTGGCCATTACTTAACGTACAGTAATATCTCAGCGACAGAAAGGGAGACATTTGGTCAAATACCAATTTTGGTTGTCCACCTTCAAACTGTGCTAACTGTATAGATTGTCTGCCATGAGGAAGATGTGTGTGAAGCATCCATGCTTTCACAGACATGCTTATGGTCTTGCAGCCCATTGCTACCTTTTTATAAAGCCTCGACCTCATCTGAGCGCTGTGGGGGGACACTCACACAAACTACCTGAACACAGAAAATTAGAAAATACAGGCGGAGGGTAGAGAAATACACAACCACACACTGAGAGTGGGACATAATGATTGAAGGGATTACCTCTGTATGAGTCTACACATTGTTTTACAGGGAAAATCCTGCATACTTTATCTTTAACTGCAGCTGTGTGAGATCAGAAAACGACCAGTGTCCTTCTGTTGATCTTGGCATCAGACTAGAACACTTCAGTGTGTTGTAGATCCGGCATAACTAGAATTAGTCTGGAGCCAAAGTTCAGTTTCTGTTTCCAAGAAGCGTCATCCTAATGTAGACTGAAATGCCTCCAGACACAACTGGATAGACCAATAAGAGCAATGCAACGTGTCTGACCCGTGAGCGAAAGCCAAATGTAAACAGACCCAGTGCTGTTTCCTGCTGTAGTGTTAGCGACCAAACTAGCTCAACGACATGGCCCGACGCAAGTTTGATGCTGAATATATTAAATTGTGTGGACCGTAAACCAATGACTTTGAAGAAATCTGGAGCCTGTGGCTGGAACAGTTGGTAACCACTGTTCTAGTTTATACTCGGCACAGATGTTCCTGTACATGATCCCAGTCACTTGGTTGTATCTCTCTGTGTACACTGTCCTAGCCTGCATCTTACATGATATATATTTTTATATTTTAGTGTGGTATTACTCCTTTTACTGAAGTAAATGATCAGAATTCTTCTTCCATGACTGAATCGCTTCCTAAAACAATTCCAGTGAAACAGAAAATTTAAAAGTCTAAATTTTCAGTACCAGATTTCCTCTTTGTGCCTCAACAGACGTTTCCTTTTTAATCTGCAGTGGAGAGATACTAACAGGAAGTTATCAGTGTGTCATATCATGTGTTAATGGCTACCTTTGGTTGTGTCAGACTGTCTTCACTCTGGTCCTCAGCGGAGCCTCCAGACTCGACCTGCTCCATCTCTGTCTCTGCACTCATCCCTCCCTCCGTGCAACAGCTAATCTGTTAGTAAGAGGAGTAAGAAAAACTTTTAAGTTTTATGAAGCACCTCAAAGACAAACAAACAAACAAAAACACAGGAAGGCAGAAATAAAGGAGATACAGTACCTTTCATTTGTAATTCTCAGCAACAATATTCAAACTGGTTATACTGGTCTTTTCAGTCAGGCCCCCAGTTTACTGCAGGTGTAAAGATCAATATTTAGTGATAGTTATGAACTCATTTGGTTGAGACACCAGCTGTTAAATCACAATCACAATATCATGACTATATATATACAGTACAGGCCAAAAGTTTGGACACACCTTCTCATTCAATGCGTTTTCTTTATTTTCATGACTATTTACATTGTAGATTCTCACTGAAGGCATCAAAACTATGAATGAACACATGTGGAGTCACAGGTGTGCCTTATCAGGGTTAATTAGTGGAATTTCTTGCTTTATCAATGGGGTTGGGACCATCAGTTGTGTTGTGCAGAAGTCAGGTTAATACACAGCCGACAGCCCTATTGGACAACTGTTAAAATTCATATTATGGCAAGAACCAATCAGCTAACTAAAGAAAAACAAGTGGCCATCATTACTTTAAGAAATGAAGGTCAGTCAGTCAGGAAAATTGCAAAAACTTTAAATGTGTCCCCAAGTGGAGTCGCAAAAACCATCAAGCGCTACAACGAAACTGGCACACATGAGGACCGACCCAGGAAAGGAAGACCAAGAGTCACCTCTGCTTCTGAGGATAAGTTCATCCGAGTCACCAGCCTCAGAAATCGCAAGTTAACAGCAGCTCAGATCAGAGACCAGATGAATGCCACACAGAGTTCTAGCAGCAGACCCATCTCTAGAACAACTGTTAAGAGGAGACTGCGCCAATCAGGCCTTCATGGTCAAATAGCTGCTAGGAAACCACTGCTAAGGAGAGGCAACAAGCAGAAGAGATTTGTTTGGGCCAAGAAACACAAGGAATGGACATTAGACCAGTGGAAATCTGTGCTTTGGTCTGATGAGTCCAAATTTGAGATCTTTGGTTCCAACCGCCGTGTCTTTGTGAGACGCAGAAAAGGTGAACGGATGGATTCCACATGCCTGGTTCCCACTGTGAAGCATGGAGGAGGAGGTGTGATGGTGTGGGGGTGTTTTGCTGGTGACACTGTTGGGGATTTATTCAAAATTGAAGGCACACTGAACCAGCATGGCTACCACAGCATCCTGCAGCGACATGCCGTCCCATCCGGTTTGCGTTTAGTTGGACGATCATTAATTTTTCAACAGGACAATGACCCCAAACACACCTCCAGGCTGTGTAAGGGCTATTTGACCAAGAAGGAGAGTGATGGAGTGCTGCGGCAGATGACCTGGCCTCCACAGTCACCAGACCTGAACCCAATCGAGATGGTTTGGGGTGAGCTGGACCGCAGAGTGAAGGCAAAGGGGCCAACAAGTGCTAAACACCTCTGGGAACTCCTTCAAGACTGTTGGAAAACCATTTCAGGTGACTACCTCTTGAAGCTCATGGAGAGAATGCCAAGAGTGTGCAAAGCAGTAATCAGAGCAAAGGGTGGCTATTTTGAAGAAACTAGAATATAAAACATGTTTTCAGTTATTTCACCTTTTTTTGTTAAGTACATAACTCCACATGTGTTCATTCATAGATTTGATGCCTTCAGTGAGAATCTACAATGTAAATAGTCATGAAAATAAAGAAAACGCATTGAATGAGAAGGTGTGTCCAAACTTTTGGCCTGTACTGTATATATATGTATATATTTATACATCGCTTTTTTGTATTTATTCTAAAAAGTACTTTAAATATGTAGTGTTATTATCAGACAAATACTTTGCACGTGCAGCCTGAGGAGTGGATGTTTATCCAACATGTTCATGGAGTCATAACAACAAATCAATTAGTTGACTGACAGAAAAATAATCGGCAACTATTTTTATGATTTATCAATGGTTTTAGTCATTTTTGGTGAAAAAAAGAGCCAAATATTTTCTGTTTCCAGCTTCTGAAATTGAAGGATTTCTCTGTCATATATGTCTGTAAACTGAATTTTTGTGATTTAAGGTGTCACACAGGAGCTTGGGAAGTTTGGATGGGCATTTTTTTCAATTTTTCAAACAATTAATCAATAATAAAAAAAAGTATTTATTAGCTGCAGCTCTGAACAACTGTGACCCCATAATCTTAAGTCCATCTAATGTCTGATATCTAATATGATATAAAATAAAACAAAGTCTACTTACTTGTTGTTTTATTTTCTCCTCTCAGCTGCTGTCAGCTCCAGAGTGCAGCCTCTGACTTTGTGCAGATCTTTATTTGATCTTGTAAATGAGCATTCACGCAGGTGACGGTGTGTTTTTCCTTTCTGTGTGTTGTTGTGAAAGTACACAGTGGGTCACATGTTATCCAGACACGTTAAGACAACAAAACACACACACACACACACACTCTGTAATCACACAGCGGGATCATCCTCCAGGCTGCTCCACAAACTCCCATCAACTGAAGATAACTCATCCTGACTCATTGCCAGCGCTGCAGCAATGACCCTAACTTTAACTATGGGAGTTCAGCCATAAAGGGGCAGGACCTTATTTTGTTTATTTTATAAGTATGTTTATTTGTGTTGTTTATTGTTTATTCTCCACACACTTATTTCTTTTATTTTGCCTATAATCGATCAATTTAAATACATTCTATCTATATCTAATGCAGTAGTAAAAGTATAATATTCCCCTCTGATATGTGGTGAAAGACAAAATGATGTAATAGAAATTAATAAAACAAAACATTAAAAACCTTTAAAGTTGACTGAATGAGTTTTACCTGCTGGTTTCTGCTGTAATGTCGCCCTCTGGTGGACTGAAGCAGGAATTACAAGCAGAGCTGAAACACTAATACACGCACACACACACACACACACACACACACACACACACACACACACATTAAATGTGTTTACAGATTTTTCCAATAATTTATATTATTTTAATCAAAACTATTCATGCAATATCCCAACACAACCCTCTTGATGTCATTAATGAATTCATTTTTAATACTTAATCCCTTGATAATATTTTTATTTTATTTTATATTTTATAATTGTATAACTTTTTAGATTTAAAAACAAAGTCCCTGAGCTGACTAATATTGTGTTGTAAAATATTTTTGTTTTTTTCATTTTAAATGAATATAATTGTTTTCAATTCAATTCCACATTGCCAGAAATGAAAGTCTGTTGAAGAAATACTAAATCATTATATATCATTTATGTTGCATAAAAACAGTCAGTTTGAAAGATACGATATTCTAAATGTTTATTTTATTTTTTAAAATTTAATTAATTTAATTCTATACATTATTTTTTTTTACACTAAATCCCTTCATATTGTATGATATTTTATTTATGTAATAATATATATGTAACATTTTCCTCTGAGATGTGTAAAAGGACAAAATGTTTAAATAATTAATAAGATAAAACCTTTTCAAAACCTTTAAAGTTGACTGAGTGAGTTTTACCTGTCAGCTGCTGGTTTCTGCTGTAATGTCGCCCACTGGTGTACTGGAGCAGGAACTACAATCAGAGCTGCGACACAAATACACACATTAAACCATGTTTACAGATTACACATTTTTATACTTACTTTCCCAAGGCAAACCATTTTGTTTAATTTGTTGAATTTATTTTTGAATACTTAATCCCTTCTTTATATTTCATTTAATTTATTTTTTTAATACATTCATTTAAATACTAAAGCCCCTGAGCTGTATTTATCTGTATGAATTTTGTACTGATATAGGGTTGTAAAATATTTTTGTTTTGTCATGTTTACTGTATAATTGTTAAATTCAGTTCTGCATTGCCAAAAAAGTCTGCCGAAAAACTTAAACTTAACTAAATCATCTTATTTATTTATGTTGCATAAAGATCGTCATTTTGAAAGATGAGATATTCTTAATATTAAATTGTTAATTTCATGTTATTTATTTTTTTTAGATTAAATTAATTTAATTCTATACATTCATTTTTCAACACTAAATGCTTCTGTACTATAATGTTATGTTGCAGCTGTTGGTGTCTGGTGTAATGTCGCCCTCTGCTGGACCTCAGCGGAACTACAAGCAGAACTGCGACACTCACATTGAAACTTTTTTTTTTATCGTATTTTACTATTTTAATCTAAATGTATCCATGTAGTTTGCCCTCTTTTATTTTATTTAATTTATTCCTTTTTAAATAATAAAGCCATTTTTTAAAAATATCTGTGTACTTTTTTTTTAATAGGCTAATTTCCTTTTTAAGATACTAAAGCCCTTGTACTGTTTGTACTTGTATTTTTTTGCCAGACATATTTACTGATATTGAGTTGTAAACAATTATTAATTTGTCACGTGCTGATTGTTTAATTCATTTTCAAATTACCAGGAGTTATTCAACACACATGAATAAGGGGATTTAGTTTATCTTCACTTTACTCTAAAATCAGTCAGTCTGAAAGATATTATATTTTAAGTATTGTTTTGTTAGTTTTATTATATTCCAAATCAATTTTATGCATTTATTTTTCACACAAAATCCCCTTTATTTTTTTATTAGGTTATTTCAAAGTATTGTTTTAAATAATGAATCCTTTTATTTTATGCAGATTGTGTAAAATGTATTAATTAATTTATTATTTTTTTGTATTTGTATAATTTTATTTTTTGAACACAATTGCTGTTAATAAAAAATAAACAACTGTTACATCAAAAAGTGAATAAATATAAGTTTTAAGAAAACATTTTGTATTGTAGGTTGGGGGTGTGCCAGAGGAGACTGGAGGGTCATCACTGACGTCACTAATGCGACACACCTGGGAGAGAGCAATGGTGGAAATGTTTGGCGGCGCCATGCTCGGACTGTTCAAGCTAGACTGTGACAGTTTTGGAGCTCCGACATCCACTTTGTATTGTCTTTGACTGAAGTAACTATAGTGTCCGCATCAGGAGGAGGAGAGGCAGCAGCAGGAACATGAGGGGTGACAGAGTTCAGTCCTGTAGCTACAGGTGAGTCAGACCTGCACTCAGCAACATCACCACACCTGGGGACCGTTTCACAAAATTAGCAACTTACAATCTGCGGTAGTGTGCCAAAATATGCAACCCCTGTCATAGTCAGTTCTTTCCCAGCTGAAGTTATAGTGGGATACATGTTCTCTCAGACTGCCTAAATATGTATCCCCGCTCTATAATGCAAAGTCTTTGCCATGACATCAAGTATTTTGTTGTGCACATACTTCAGATCAAGCCCAATACCCAAAATGAATAAAGGGAAGTTTCCTCCTCTCCAGCAAAACCAATTATTTCTGCAGAAATTTGAATTTCTTTGTCACTCTGTAATAGAGCAGGGTATCACTACTGATGTCCCGATTTGATTCAGTCTCGATTTGATTCAGTTGATTCAGTCAGTCTGTGTGTACTGGTTAAATGTCAAAAGTATTTTTTGTCTGAAAGCAGATGAGTAAAATTAAGACATTATCATCAGAAAGCTGATCCATCAAAGACAGCATGGTAGGATCCAGAGAACAGTCAGGATGACCTTTTGAGCTCTGCTGCAGTCCATGTTTCTGTCCTCTAGATGACGCTGTAGACTCATCTGGAAAAGGGGAATGAACCTCAGCATGTCTGCAGCCTGTAGTACAACAGCATCGCACAGAGGAACAGCTGCAATAACTGTTTTCCATAGCAAGAGGAAAGTTTCTCATTATTATCTCATCATCTCAAATCCCTGTGTGCAGTGATGAAAATGTGTTTGTTATAAATTATAGATTAAGATCAACAGCAGGGACAGAGCGGGGAAGAATAGAATAAAGTAATTTATTATTATTCTCATTAACTGTGCACCAGAATAAATATCAACTGCGTACCTTGCTAACTTGTAGTAAATGGCACAGCACCAAAACCCTTCTTAGTTTGTATGCGTGCTAAAGCTAAAGTGACCTGTGCTGTAATCTGCAGAGAGATGCATCAGCTTGTCAGAAGTAGCTCTGATTATATTCACCTAGAAAGTTGAAGTTGGGGTAGGAAGCTTTATTTTAGTGTATTGAGAAAAAAATCAGATGATAAAATTTGAACATATTTTAATTCAGGTGAGAGAAAACTAGACTCCTGCAGTTCTTCTTGGCCCTGTTTTCAGGTTTTTGAAAGTCTCGCTTTCACATTTAGGAGACTTTGGCCAATCACAGGTCATGTCAGAGAGAGAGGGCGCTCCTACTGGCTGTTTCACAAATGCAGATGTGTGTGCACATCCCATTGGCAAAGTCTGATTCAACGGGGGAGAGTCCTGCAGAAAAAGTTGCTGGCGTTCTAGCATTAGCAACAACCACCTGTACTGTAGAGCAACCCAGAAAAAAGGCAACTCATCAAAAAAAGAGTCTAAGGGGCCGTACACATGCTGCATCTTTGACTTTAGTTTAGCCCTCTGCTAACCGGAGCCAAAGACTCGTAGTTGCAGCTTCAAGTTAACATTTATGTAGCTAACGTAAGCTAAAACCTTGAATCACAGTGTGTCCACTGCCACTACAGACTGCCTCGCCAGGAGGAGAGTAGGCAGCAGCTCTGGAGCCCCAGCCAGCGGCTGCAGCAACCCGGACTCTACTAGTGCAAACCGCAGCTCCAGCGGACCATGCAGCCCAGACTGCCCACCAGATCAGCAAACTTTCTGTTGCTGCCATTACACAGGTAAGACCTGACACTGTTGTGACACCCGGTGCTGGGGGTTTGTGCTGGCCAAATCTGTGCCTGCGGGTAACTCTGCAATGAAATGAAAATGCATAAATCAATGTATGGGAAACACTGAGTTGCTGTATGCAGCGCACGCTATGACCCATGGTTGTCAGGTGGGAGGTTAGTTAGCCTAATTTAGCCTGACTGTCTTTCATAAAACAATATGCATATATAATGACTTTAGTTGTTCTTTTATCTCAGACATGTTAGGATATTACATACCTTGACATGTTTCAGCAGAAAGGTCCGCCTTCCTCAGAAGTGTCACTTGGTGGTGGTTGTGACGAGTCTTTATCAGCTGATCTGTCAATCAGCTGATATTAGGGAGGCGCCGTCAGTTTTGACAGGACAGTCACGCCACCTGCTGTCTGTCCGCTGCTTCTCCAGAACGCCGCTCCAGGTGTGGGAGAGCACGTATGCCCCCTCGTCCCTGTTCATCGTCCCTGGGCCCCTCTTCCTTATTTCAATAGCCTCCCTGATCCAGCGCCAGTGTTTGTTGTCCTTGGTGTGTATGACTCTGGCCTTGTCCCAGTCCATAAGATGGTCTTCTCTTTTGCAGTGATCTGTTATGGCTGATTTGTAGGTTTCTTGTTGTGCCACATATGAAAGAGACTAATAAGTGAGGAGCTCGGACTTTCGGAGGGAGCTCGGAGTAGAGCTGCTGCTCCTTCGTGTTGAAAAGGGCCAGTTGAGGTGGTTCAGGCATCTGATCAGGATCCTCTTGGGCGCCTCCTGTTAGAGGTGTTGTGGGCACGTCCGACTGGTAGGAGGCCCCGGGGCAGACCCAGAACACACTGGAGGGATTATATATCTTATCTGGCCTTGGAGAGATGTCTGGAGTACTTTGCTCAGCCTGCTGCTCATTAACTGGTCTCGGATAAGCCTTTGAAAATGGATGGATGGATGAAAGAAACTAGTACCTGCTATGAAGTAAATCTCCTTTACAAAGGATAATAATTGGAATTGGACAGCGATACATACGTTTCCAAACAGGTTAATTAATGAACTTGTGACCAAGATCTTTTGTAGCCAAGATATTCCTTAAGTTTGAACGGAGCAACACAATTAACTAAGTTTGTGTAACTCAGAGGTGGATTGTGCGAGAAGCTGAAGCAGCACAGTCCTGTCACTTTGAACTCTTAGTCTGTTCATATGTCAGTTACTTGTATAAAAAAGCCTAGACCACACACACATACACAGAAGAGGTCTGAGCAGTTAACAGAAAAACATTCTCATGAGAAAGCTGATGTTTACCCTCCGGAAGCTATACAGCCTGCTCTGTCTGTGGCTTTCACTACAACACACACACACACACACACACTAAAGGGTGAAATGGCGTCTCTGCCATCTGTCTGTGCGCTTCCCCTCCACACAGGAAGTGCTCTCGGGGTCACTGAGAGGTTGGAAAGGGCAGACAGACGTAAGGTCCAAAGGTCCCTCAGAAATCAGAAATGCAGAATGCACACACAGTTAATGCTGCTGTGAGGACTTGACTTCTTTGCAGTAACAGTTTAAAACAGTCAGTCAATAAGGACAAATCTAATCGTCAACTTAATCTGTTGATAACAGATTGATGAGGTCATGTGTTTAGCCTTTGGCCCTCGTTACTGTTTTCTGATATTTTATAATCTTGTATTCATACTTACTGCATCTTTCACACACATAACAGCACACACCTAAATGTACTTTCAGCTGACCTTTATAAAAGTACAAAAAATAGGCCGAGAGGCAAATTCAAATGTTTTCACATAAACAAAAGGATGGAATAATGAAAAATAGGAGTAAAAAGAAAATAAGTAAAACAAACCCTTAAAGATGATTAAAACAAAAAAGAGAAACAGAGTAAAACAAATTTTCTGTGTCTACTTTGGAGATATACTGACTGCAGTTTCCCAAAGCATGACTAACAGACTCTGAAAGTAATGTTTTGATTAAAAAATTCAATTGAAGCCATGTTTAGCCTCAACAAGCCAACGTTATCTTACATTCACCCTCTGTGGGCTACAAGCACTATGAAGAGCTCTTACAGAGAAATGAATATGACCGTGTATTGTACTATATCAATAGATTTACGTCTTTGAGACCAGCCGTATCTAGGGCTGTACTGAATACGTTAAATGTGTGTTTAGGTTTAGGTTAAAAAAACACAAAAAGATCATATTTTGGCTTAAAATACCTGGTTTGGGGGTGAAAAGCTGCTGGAAACGGCAATGACTCACTAAACAACAACTGGTTTTGTTGTTTGTTGGTCTCAAACACTGGTCTGCAGCTTGGCAGGTGTCAATTGCCACCACCACCTCCACCTCCCATGACAGTCAGCTCATATATTGCTCTACCTTAGAAATGTTAATATGATGCATATGAAACATGCAAATGTAAATTATGTGTCATTTGCAGAAACATACAGTGCAGACAATTCCTCCTGGTGATTTGACGTTATCACCCTAAAAAAATAAAATAAAAAGCTGTTGGACTGCACAATGTTGTTTTTGAAAAGCTTCACACCAGCACATATGAATTGAAGCAGAACATCTGTTTGATAGAAACTTGTTGGGAATTTTGGAAATTATTGCATCTATCTTTTTTTTTTTTTTTTTTTTTTTTTTTTTTTTTAAATAAATTTTAACTTTTGGATTTTACAACAGGAGTTGTAGGAGTTATTGAAATGTTAGGATTGCATGAGTCGGAATCAATAGCCCTTTTTAAATAGGAGTTGTGCAAATTTGCAGGAAAGCCCAATCAGTCTTTTTTCAGCATTTGCAGTATAAAAACAAAATCGGGGAGTGCAGAAAAATGCCGCCTACCTACTTTTGTTTATACAGAATGCGACTTTTTCGGGGCAGTGGGGGGCGTGAGCAAGTAACAAAACATGTAGCTCAGTGTGTGACGTAAACAGTGACGTGGGAGGGAAGTCGTGCTCGTCAGCGATTCTCTCATAAGTTGGCCCGTCCTTCACCGTCCCTGTCATCTGACGGTTAATGGCCTCTTCGTCTGCGAGGACAAGGAGAACGCGCAATTCCTTGTCTCCCCAGTTGCTCATCTTTACAGTGTCTGTCAGGTTTGTGTTTCCCTCTTGCTACTAGTTTGCTAGTTTCCTGTTAGTCCACCACCAGTGGGTTGCAGGTGCGGTGTCATCAACAGCTTCTCCCACAAGTCTTCAACAGCCCCTCCCGTGGCGGAAGGCCGCCTTGTTCTTTTTAAACCAGAAAGGTTCCACCAATATGTCTACCCTACGAGGCGGAAAACTGGGCACCTTGGATCAAATCGCCAATCTGGCTCTGTGTGTCTAAACGCTCGCAGCTTGCCGGCAAAACGGCCCAACATTCACTGAAAATCTGGCAGTGTAAAAGGGGCTAATCTTATGCAGCAACCACTTGCATTTGGGATGCACGATAATATCGACACATCATTGGTATCGGTCAGTATCAACTTTAAAATGAACTCATAATCGGCCAACATTCTTTTTCTTAATTTACACAATGAATGAATGTCACATACATTGAACGGTATTGTACTTCATGTCTCCATCTGCTGGTGGGCCGTTACAATGAGAGTATGCATGTATGATATGATGTTAGTTCCACCACAGAAGAGACTTGATTACTCAAGTTAAGTGGGGAAAAGTGGATATATCTATATCGGTTATTGGCCAAAAAAAAAAGTTATATTGGATATTGGCAAAAAAATCCAATATGGTGCATCCCTAACTGGAATCTAATTCTACAAATATAGTAATACTTACAATATTAGTGTAATCTGTATCTGTAAGTTTGCAGAAATACCAGGTTTTAACAGAATAAGTAGACATGAAAAAAGACATTTATAATTTGAATATCAACATTATTAACAAAGCTTGAAACTATCAGTACAGCCCTGGTCCTGTCCCACACTTCTTCATCACTTACGTAACTGAGGAACAGGAACAGAAAACACAATCTGTCCTGACCAGTAATTTTATTATTGGAAAGAATTTATTTATTTGCTCTGAGTGAGGGATGTCGGATCCTCTCTAAGTGTGTTGTTTTTCTGTTTATTGATAGTGAATAATCGCTGATCCTCTCTCCACCTCGTCCTGTCACAAGGCTTATTTTTGGCTCTTTTCCTGATCAGGCCAAACCGAGATCTAAAGGGGTCAAACTGAAGGAGGGTTGAATAATCATTGCATAACCCCCTTTTTGTCCATGTGCTTCCCAGATCAGAACAATTGCAGAAAACACAATTGTGAGCTGGAGAGGCTTGATTCGGCCAATAATTGTATTTCTGAATGAATTCCCACAGAAAGACAAAGACTGAAAAAAAGACACAGGACAATCCGTTTGTCAATAATTGTATGATGTAAGATATCCATTGTGCCATTGTATCACAGACGGGCCAGAGTACTCTGGTTCCAGTGTCGCCCACATCTCGAATTGTATTTACTGATTCATAAAGGTCTGCCGTTGTTCTCACAAACGTCTGTTTCCCAGATAGAGAAACAACCCAACAAATCAGGGTCACACAATGGGCTGTTGTTGAGATTTGGGAAGTGTTTATCCATAACACTGTTCTCTGTTTAGATCCACAGAGACGTCGACATGTGTCTTTGCAGAAGCTTGAATCAGGCGTTGGACAGATAAAACATTTTAAGGGGCTATCAAGTGGGTTTGTGTTTACCGTGTAGCCCAGTGGCTCCAAAACATTTTTTTTACTGGACCCATATTGTATGTTTTGTTTTTTTGCATGATCCATTTAACATTCTAAATGAGTGATTATGATAGTCAGTTAAACTGTGTGTGCTCATAGAATAAATACAGATCCAACAGATTTATGGTCTCATTTTCAAACAGGTGAGATTATCATGCATCATAATATCATAAGAATGCTCACTAATATCCACTAGCTAGCCACATTAGTTCTGCGAGTATATTACAGCAGTAGTTCCCATCTGGTTGGTATGAATGGACCACAAGTGACTT